CATGAAAATGTGGATTTCTAGTTTGTGGCCCTGGCAGAAGCATGGTTAACATTTTGAGAGGCATCTAATGTTTGTCCTGTGCAATTCAGGAAGATACTATGAATGTACTAAACTTGGTCTTTCTTCTATAGCTTACCATTTACTAGGGCTGCCAATGCTAGTCTAGATCTCATGAGCAATTTTGTGACTTCCAAACTTCAGGCTATTCTGCATTACACCAACAGCCCCTGACCAATGCAGTCTTTTGGCAACAAAGCAGTCATTTCATGGAACAAAAAATTGGCGGAAGTTTCTTCTGTCAACTTAAGGATATCCTTTTGCAAGGAAGAATCCCGTGTGAGTCTTTAAGATGAATTAGCTTAAATTTTCCATTATCGCTGAAAGCAGCTATAGATGGACCAAGTAGAAAGCTGAATTTTTGCCTTATGTATAAAGATGTTTAAGGTTTCTCATTTGTTGTTTCTGGGCTGGGATGCTCTAAGGAATATCATGCAAGTCATCATAAATCCTCAGTTCTACTGAAATGGACTTGTTTTCAGTGTCAACTATTTATATAATTAATACCAGAGTGATGTCTCAGAATCTTCCTTTCAATGTAAATATTTCAGTACATTGCTTACTGTATTTATTCTTCATGCCTTACAAAGAGTTGTAATAAAATCTGCTTGAAATGTTTCTTGTAAAATCATTGCATTAACCATATTTTTCATGTACAAACATGTATGAAAATAAACACATTCATTTTCTGAATTATATGAGTTTATGATAATAAATAAAATCATTAATTGTTTTTAACATGATTGTATGGCACTAATCTGGGAAGCTGGGACTATAAATAAAGCAATAAAGTTTCTAGTCCTGTATGTAGACACCAAATAAATCAAGCTGCGAAATAACACAGTCTGGATTCCCACCCCAAGACTTAAAAAGTACTACTCTAATGGATACAGTTATTTTTATGGGCATTTAAATTTCTACGCTTGTATTTTTTATTTAAAGATCTTTTCTGATTGAGATAGCTCTAGGTGAAAGCAATGCAAGTTTTGTTACATCTTGATTGATATCTGTCAAAAAAATTACAAAACTGGATGATCCTAAGTTGCTAATAGTGCCATTTCTCCTCTTACACCTCCTTCCTGTTCCTGATGCAGCAATTTCAGAACTATCACATTCCACTGGGAATTTAACCAATTTTATATAAAGCTACATGATAGCTTGTTTTCCTTCAGCATACTTCTCATTCGCTTTGACAAAAGTGTGAATGCACATGTATTTAAAATATAACGACCCAAATCAGTGGTACCCGGGCGATTGCCTGCAGACTTAATTTGGTCTACAAGAATAATTTCTCTGGTTGAACTTGCTCCTCACTAATATCTTCCCCAAAATCCTTGCAACTTGTCCTTTGTTAAACAGCAAAAAGTGTATTCCCTGCATGAGCAAAGTATATGCACCTTCCTTCATGGGGATGTAAAGGAATGTATGACAAGGAAGACTGCAAATAAGATGGAGGTACTTCTGGTGACAGCCTGCTGTGGCGAAAGAATGGCTACTCCTGACATAACTTAGTCTGCGGGAGAGCTGAGCACACACACGACCAATGTGATCAAGCAATGCCCATTTATTACAACTAAGAAAGCCCTTTTATAATGTTCTCCTGCACACGTGAGTAACATGCAGTACAAGTCCTCAAGACTGGACAGTTAACTTAGCCTGCGCTTTAAACCTTCTTATGGTTGGATAAAAAGTGCCACATCAGCCTTGCCAGGCTTCCTGCCTTGTGGAACTTCCTCTTCCGTCCCAACCCCTTCCGGGGGTTGTTTGTCTCATCAAGTTTCTCCCCTCTCATTCAGGGTCACATCCTTATCGCATTCTTGCTTGGCTGAGGCTCTTATCAGTCTTGTTCTCACACAGGATTGCTCACATGTCCATTCTCTTGCAGAAAGCCCTCTAGAATCCCAACATTAGTCAGTGTTGGAGTTTCCACCAAAGGATCTTCACATTAATGCTGACAGAATAAAATAGCACAGACATTTCCAAGTAAACTGGAGTCCTCAATATCATCATCTCAAAAACGTCCTGCTTCTCCCTCCCAAAGAGCAATTCAGAAATAACTATGGCAGTTTTCAGGAGCTCGCAACTCAGAACTATTTTGGCTTCTGATTCGTGGTTTAATGTATCCTACTTTCCAGCTTCAGGACCCCTATTCAGTGTGGACCAGTTGCATGGGTCTAAATGAGTCATGTCTTTCATTTCAGTAAGATGACTCACACGCTTAGTTGGGTGTGTTTGCATGCTAATATTCCTTGAAATAAAAAATGAGACAGGAGGAGCAGAGTTTTAGAACACAAAATAGCATTTCTCAGATGCTCATGCCAGATCAAGGAAACATCCTGGACCTACAACATGGGCCTGGAAAAAACACACGGCAAAAATACTTCAGTATCCACTACAGTCTATGTCATCACGAGATCATCTTTCTATAAACACCTTTTCTTGGAGCAGAACAGTCCTCTGGCTGTTACCCTGTGCCTCTCAAGTGAATCTCACTGATTCACTGACAAATACTAAAATAAAAGACAGGTAAGAAATAAGCTCAAATCATAGATAAGTTTAATAAGAATCTAAGTAACTCAGCCTGAGAAAGTATAGAAGCAGTTTTAGTTGATGTAATGTAATCATTCAAATCCATATGTAAGGAAACTGTAATTTTTATTCCTATTACTTCAAGTAATTTCAGAAGATAATCCAGCCAGTAGTGCTTTTTTAAAGAACGGGTTAGACAACATTCATTGGAAATTATTCACTAAAGCAACTAATCTATCCGGGAAAAAAAACAACCCAAGTGCTATTTTTTGAAGCACAAAGTGTTTGTCCAAGAGCTTGTCTGTTTTTTTTAAATGTAATGACTGGACTATGTAAAGGTAACTGCTCTTCCTGACAGATCTTGCCTTGCCTATATCATCAGGCCACTGCAACTGCATCAGCCACAGTATGGTAATATGATTTAATGATTAGTAAGTCTGAAAAGTGGATCATTTTGTCCATCAGTGTGCCAATCTGGCACATTTTCAAGGGTGAGGTTGGTTTTTTCCCTCTTCAGATGGTAAGAGTGCACTGGGATGATTTGCAGGAGCCAGCTGATGCTGCCTCTCAGCTCTGTAGCCGTATCTGCTCCGCGTGTGGGAGAGGCTCCCAGCTCTGCCAGAGTCCTGCTGAATTCTTGCGGCCTCACTTGGATGTTTGTCCAAAGATGCTTCAGCTCTTATTCCATGACCATGCTCTGTGTCACTCAAAATCTGACTGAGTGTTGCCTTTCCTTCCTGAGCTATTGCTCCAAGGATGTGTACAATGCCAGGATTAGCCATTTTAGGGGGACCAGGTGATGAGGTCGAGTTTCAGCCTATATATTCCTAGGGACAGGAGAAGCATCTCCACTAACTAGTTAAATATTTTTATAGGTTGGAGTGTAACGTCAGGACTATCACTTAGACCATTATATTCCTCATAACCTTTCATGGTCTCTTTTCAAGTATGTTTTCTGTGATTATAAACACAGAACCCTGTAGCTTTTAGGAGCAGCAGAAGGAGGTTCATTCCTGCTCGGAGCACAAGGATATGCACTTTAAATGCAGAAATGTGGGAGCAGCGTAAAGCGTGTAACTCTGATAGGCATTTCCACTCAGGCTTTTTCATCTTCTATAGAAGCAACTGTACTGAACAAAAATATACACAAGCTGAATCCACATCAAAGACATACGTGCTCTTAGTATAAAACCAGAAATTAATAAATTGTCTTGGTTTTCTGTTGAGCTTCCAGACGCGCCCAGCTTTCTGAAATGCCTTACTGAATGTACAAGCATGCCCATCATCCTTTATAAGCTGTAAGGCAGGGCTTTCTTGCTGTTATTATTATTATTACTCTGGATGTACACCCTGCCTGAGTTTGCATCATAAGTAAATCAAATGCTCACATTTGGATCCAGGTAACAGCAAGAAAGCAGATTATGCTGGAGATACTTATCTGCAACTTCCCTGTTGTACAGTCTCCCACGATTGTTTTATTCTGCTGTGGTGCTCAAAGACATCTGTAATTTTCTTGGGTTGATTTGTTGGATTGCCCAGGTTACAGCATTTCTAACAGTGCATTTTGTAAGTGAAGCTATTTGTGGTACATTCTTCAAGATATATTACTCATTTTGAAATTCGGAGGGGGGGGTGTGTGAGTGGGGGTGTCCAATCACCCTTTAACTTTACAACTCCCACACACATTCTCATTTTACATACGCTTGCAAATCTCCCAGCGGAGGAACATAAATCCACTGGAGCACAATGTACATTTAAGCGTTTGTAAAGAAAACAAACCCCTTTCTGCACTATACGGCTCCTGTCATTAGTAACGCCAGAGCAGCAGCGACCTACGAATCTGTCGAGCCTCGGCGAGGCTCCTGAGAAAACTCCCCTCTAAACTGCGCCCATGCTGCGTATTCAGGCTGTTTCTTTCCAGCAGTGGCTCAAAATTCAAGCTCAAACCATCCAGAAGTGCGTCTGAGCCTTCAGGCATGTGAGCCAAGCAGTCGGGTGAGCCCAGCTGTCCCGATGTAGAGGTGCCACAAGCACCGTGCAGCGGCGGCGGAGCCGAGGGGCCTTGGCTGTCCCGCCTCGGCTCGAACCGCCGGCTGCTGGCTGGGAGAGGTTCGTCGGGCTTGTGCAGACGAGAAAAGCGCGGTGGTTGCGGCAAAGAGCCTTCCCGCGAGGGAGGGAGAGCGGCCGGCCTGTCCCGGGAGCCCGAGAGCAGCCGTCTAGGCAGAGGCGCTCCCACCACGCGCTCCTCCGACAGACAACAACCGGCTCCGCAGCGCTCCAGATCCCGCCGGCGGAGGCTCCGCCGTGGACGAGGCTCCCAGAACGGGGCGGGAAGGCGCCCGCGGCCGCCGGCTGGAG